ATGACTTTTTTCCTGTCTTCCCAGAAAAACTTCCGACTTCCTTTTTCAGAGAGTGCCTTATATTCTGATCCTCTTTCCATTGAATAAATGTATGCATTTTTTCCACAACCATTCAGTTGTTAACTTGTACCATTCAAAATATTTCAAGTTACCCACTGTAGCAGGAATTCCTCGGTATGACAACAAAATCAGTTTTTATGATCACACTAATTATTGTGATCAATCAAATGGCCTAGCAGCACAAACAGAGATTGGCTGTGTCTGTTTGAAGTGATTCTCGTTCCAAAGTGCATATGATGGACGTTTAAGGTTCCAGGTCCTAAGTAATGGAAGACCTCTTAAATATACTTGAACTCAGCTCTAACTTTCCCTGGCCTCAGCACTAAGCTTGGTTGACCTTCTTAGTACTTGGTTGGGAGACTTCCATAGAATACCAGAACGCTAGACTAGGAAGTGGAAAAAAAATAGCCTACAAGGCAAACCATGAACAGTAAATAATTTAAATGGGATTGTTCTTCATTTCCTTTCATTCTTGCAGTAGGTTCTGGAATACAACAGGTGTGTGTAAAGTAGGGTACTCAATATAAAGAATTCTCTTTGAGTTGACATCTCTCTCTCTCTCTCTCTGAAAATTTGGTTCTGGCTGCTTTATTCAGAGAACTAAAGGCATAAAGAGAAATGTATTGATATCCCTCTTGAATCCAGATGGTGAAAGTTTGAATGCTTAGTTTTTATCTTATTAACTCACCCCTGCCCCCGAGGGCATATTTGATTTGATTCAAGACAAATCAAATACTTCATTTAAATCCCATTATTTTTAATACAGTTAGTGGTAACACAGAAACTCAACCTTTTCCCTGCTTTGTTTGGACAAGCAGGGTGTCCTATAAAGACTGATCCCTGTCAGACACACATAACTATAGTTCCTAAGCAGTCTTCAAGGGCAGCCCCCAGGTGATAGTCTTGCAGTAAGGATCCTGAAGTTCAGTAGTAGCTTCTTGTGAACAGAAAGGGATTTTGCTCAATCAAGATGAAGAGAAAAAAAAAGTTAACTTCTCAGGATTCATTGTACATTGTATTGTTATGACCTCTCAGGAATAATAAATAGCCATGGTGATGCAGTGGTTAGAATGTAGTATTGCAGGCTAATTCTGCCCACTGCCAGCAGTTCAATTCTCACCGGCTCAAGGTTGACTCAGCCTTCCATCCTCATGAGGTTGGTAAAATGAGGTCCCAGATTGTTGGGGGAGGCAATATGTAAACAGCTTAGAGAGGGCTGTAAAGCACTATGTGGTATAAATGTCTAATTGCAATTGCTAAATAAATTTGGCTTTGCCTGTTTCCCCAGTGTAATCCTCCCCAACCAGGCAACCGGGCCACACACATAAGCAAAGCTCCATCGGTGGGATGCAGGCAGTACAGGAAACCATGCCCTCTCCGGTCCTCGGAAAAACCTCTCTCCATGGAATCGGTCCCTGGTGCCCAAAAGGTTGGGGACCTGATTCAGAGGACAACCACTGGATGTATTTAGATGTCTAAGTATGATACGAACATATCAGACCCTCCAGAGCAGGCATGTCAAAGAGTTGGAAGGGACCTTGTAGATCTTCTATCTAATCCAACTCCTTGCTCAAGCAAGAGTCTCTTTACCATTCCAGACAAATGGCTGTTCAATCTGTTCTTAAAAACCTCCAATGATGGAGCACCCATAATTTCTGTAGGCAAATCGTTCCACTGGTCAATTGTTCTCTGTTCGGAAATTTCTCCTTAGTTCTAGGTTGGTTCTCTCCTTGGTTAGTTTTCATCCATTGTTTCTTGTCTTGCCTTCTGGTGCTTTGGAAAATAGGTAGAAAACGGTAAAACTGAAAACAGATAGAAAACAGTACCTCTACACAGCATACTATCAGAACCACAATGACATGTAGGGATGAAAAATTTTTATTTTTGCAATATTAGTATGAGAATATATGGAAATAAATTATTTCAGAGAAAGTCTGTTTTAATTAACCCAGTCCAATAGTAGTTGGGAATTTACTCCTGAAGTTTTAAAGATTCTGATTTTAACTTAAATTAGGTATCTTTCGGAAATATGTGAGATTTTGTTCCTTCGGTTTGACAAATACAGTACAACTTTGTTTTCTGAAATTTGGGGGGGGAGGGGCAAATCCAATATAGTTAAAACATTTATGTGCTTAATAAAATTATCTGCAGAGTTTAATTTCTTGCACTTGCCACTTCTTAGAAGAAATTGAAATGATATAGGCATGTCACTTAGAAGTATATTGTGAGTTTGAGATAAATGTAAAAGGGATATGGTAACCTACTTAAACATTTCATTTTCCCCCAATTGCAGTCTTCTAAAATAAATGCTGTGTGTCACTTTTATCCCATATCTTTATAATGCACAAGGAAATATTTTTCCATATATTACAAATGCATTTGCAAGCATAATGTCATCTTTCAAAATTCTGAAAATTTACTGGGTTAAAATTGGAAACACAATCATTTATATCCTATCCTAGACATACTATTCATTATTAGACCATGTTTTATTTATTCTAAGAACTCTGATACTAGCAAGTAATGTATTTTAATGATGTGAGTACAGATAAGGCTCCAAGCTGGCTTGTATGCATGTGGGTCAGGGATTCTCTTTAGGAAATGAAAATTGGTAGTTCTTTTTTGGCCTTGGAACCACACACTGCCCAAGTCACTTGTTTGGTCAGATGGGCAGTACCGGTATATAAATTAGATAAATGAATAAGCAAATAAATTCACTAACCCACCACTGGCAAGTGGCAAAAACATTGAATGTCATAAGGAGCGGTGGGTTAAATAGCTTTTGACTTTGCTTGGCTTCCATCTACATCAGTGGTTCTCAACCTGTGGGTCGGGACCCCATTTGGGGTCGAACGACCATTTCACGTGGGTCGCCAAACAAGGCTGTCCGCCATTTTTCCCCCCTTTTCTTTGGCCACACCCCTGGCACCCGGTGATGTATAAGTGGTTGGGGGTCACCACAACATGGGGAACTGTATTATGGGGTCGCGGCATCAGAAAGGTTGAGAACCACTGATCTACATACTGTACATTTTAGCTGCCACCTCTACCTTCTAGTTTTTGTTCATGATCCTGCCAATTTTTGGCATATACAGAAGTTCTGGAGGCCCCAAAGGGAGTAACTTAGAAGACCACCTGAAGCTGGCAGGTTTCCCAATTACCTTTCAAGAAAAAAATGCTACCACTATTCAGAAACCAATCTCGTACTACACATTATTATATATACCAGAGGTTCCCAACCTTTTGGGCACCAGGGACCGGTTCCGTGGAGAAAGGTTTTTCCACGGACCGGAGGGTGCGTGGTTTTGTGTGCTACCTGCATCCCACGGATGGGGGCTTTGCTTGTTTGTGCGGACCGGCTGCTGGCATGCTGCGGCCTGGCACCGCTTCACGGACTGGGGGTTGGGGACCCGATATACACAACTTGAAATGATAGCTGGCAGTTCTTTAGCTAGTATTGGCCTTTCAGCTTCTTTACAAAAACCTACGATTGCATAATGTATTGACATAATAAACACTCTTTGTAGTGTGGCCTTTTCTAATTGACTTACAGAAATTTTGTCAATGTGCAGATTTTCTAAGTGTTGTCCAAGGCTTTTTAGTATGCCACCAGCGTGCTGATAATCAGTGGCATAATATGGTATGATTATATTACATAATTATAATTGGTCACACACTCAGCCATATGTTTAGACTGGATTTGGCATTTGTGTCCATCTATTGAGTCCTTCCCGAGAATCTGGGACAGACAGATATTGTTGTTTGATGATGTTAAAGCAGTGGTTCTCAACCTTTTTAATGCCGCGACCCCCAACCGGTTGTACACTGAGGACTACCCAACCGGTCCTAAGTCGAGGACTACCCAACCAATCCTAAGTCGAGGACTTTCCCTGCCCGGGAGCGCCGTGCATGCGTGGCACCGCCCCCTGCGCCAGCCGAGGCGTAGCTGGCGAGCGGCAGAGATGGCGCAGGCCGACCACCAGCTGGGCTACCAGCAACCCTCCCTGCGCCCGCTGGCCTCCCACCTCTGGCCCTCTTTTACTTACATTTTTAGTAGTTGCTCAGCAGGGAGGGATGGAAGCTTCCAGACAGCTCGCCTTCGCTGCAGACAACTTGCAGCACCGTTTGCAGAATGGGACTTTTGGCGGGCTCAGCAGGGCAGAGACAGCCTGGACAATTCCTATTGGCTTTTGAAAGCCAATAGAATTAGACTCTATTCAAGAGAGTCTAATTTTATTGGCTTTCAAAAGCTAATAGAATAAAAGGGAGTAGCACAGCTAAGGAAAAGGGGGGGAAATGGTGGACTGCGTTGTTTGGCAACCCCCGTGAAATGGTCGTTCAACCCCAAATAGGGTCCCGACCCACAGGTTGAGAACCACTGTGTTAAAGGTATCCACAGGATGTAAGCTGTTCCTAGAAAGCTGCCTTTTGCAATTGACTGACAGTGATTTTATCTATACTGAAGGTGTTCGAGTGGTGCTCCATATGTTTTGGGATTACACCAAGGGACCTATTACTATCTTTGCTCTCTTCTTCTTTTCCTCGTCCTCTTCCTTCAAAAGACTCTGGACCACAATCAACCCTCTAACAATCAATATAATTTAAACCAGATAAGCACATAATATGAACAAAAAGGAATTTTAATCCCTTTCCATAATCTTTCTGAAACTTACTGGACAATTTTAGGATCCATGTAAAAACCTTTTTATTAAAGCCATCTTAGAAACTAATTTTATTATTAACAGTACATATTGTTGCTTGAAGAATAGCCATTGCAACCATGAATCCCTCCAAATTCTGTGGTAAAATATTCTGATGATTTGAGAAAAGCTGAAATGCCTTCCTTAAAATGCCTCCAATGCATTCCAACACAGCTTACATTACTACTATATCAACATTGTCAGAGGAAGCTCATATTTTAAAAAAACTGTTTTTCAAAATCGATGAACTGAAACTTTTATTTTTTTAACATTTACATAAACACTTGTTTTGTAATCTTAACATGTCAATAATGAAAACAGAAAAAGGGATCAATGGCTAACCTGACTTTCATATATTATATTCTCTTAAATAAAACGTAAGGGCTTTCTGATACATCTGCTTTTTATCACCCCCTCAGTTTATACATAATTGTTCCTTTAATCACACACCCCTTATTTTGTAAGTTCATTCTGCATTTAACACAGATAAAGGAAACTGTTTAAGCTTTCTGTTTGCTTAAGTTGTTCCTCCCTAAAGATAGCGTTTATTACATACGTGATGATATTCTGACATCATTTTATATACATATAGCCAGAACAGAAATAGTGAGTATTACAAAAAGATGACCTATTAGTATCTTATTATATAATTATATAGTGTTCATTCATCATATAATTACAATTCCCATTGACCTGATGAGCTTTGTAAGAGAAGAAATCAAGAACAGCTCATTCATCCAAATTCTCTTTGAGTGTGGAATTCAGAATCTTGTTGTGGATGCTTGATTTGATTGTAAATTCTTTCTGTAATATTACAAGGAATAACAAAAATATGCAGTAGAGCTAACAAAAAATAAATTCATAAATCAGTTTCCATTTCAATGCATTTCTCCTTCATGCTCAAGTAAAACTGTAAATCAGATGATCATATTGTTTTGGTGATCCCAACAACCAAATACATTTCCTGAATATGTGCACATTACATATTGCACTAAATTCTGGCTTGCTTAAATACAGGTAGTCCTCACTGCAGTTGGAATCAGCAACTCCATTGCTATGCATATGTCGATGTACAATGTCAGTTCTGGCTCTGGTTGTAAAGCAAATCACCTGTGGTCTTTAATAAGCATAACCTCTGTCAGATTGCTGTGACTTGTAATTTCCTGTCAGCCTCTCTATTGATTTTGCTTCTTGAAAGTGGCTGGGAAGGTTGCAAATGGCGACCATGGGGATGCTATAACTGCTGTAAATGTGACGCTGGCCGCAAACACCTGAATTGCTATCCCATGACCACAGAAACGCTGCAACAGTCGTAAGTGTGAGGACTGGTTGCAAATCTCCTTTATTGAGTGCCATTGTAACTACAAATGTTGCTGGAACAGGTGGTTGGTAAGAAAGGACTACCTGTTTAGCTTACTTGAATGAATCAAAACTGGCTGAGTTTACAGAACACATTCCCCTGGGGCCAGACATCCTGCTTCACCTGACTAAAACATTTTAATTAAAAAATAAAACAGGAAGTTGGCACCCTGCAAAGCAAACTGCCAGCCTCGCCTATATACTTTTAATGTCCCCAAAACATGAGGGAAAATTGCAGCACAGGGCTTTGCATAGAAGTATCTACCTCTGTTTAGATAACAGAGAAAGGTAAGCAGGGATGTTAGAACATGGGCAGGGACAACTTTTGGCAAGCCAAAGCTTTACAACTATTTGTACCCCACCAGATTGCCATACCTTGACAGAGTAATCCTTCGCAGCACCCATTTTGCAAGCCTTACCCACACCATGTTCTCAGAATTGATATATGCCAAAAAAAAGAGGATGTGCTCTACATAAAGCCAACCAAGTAATCCATGCTATAGTTTAAAGTGATTTGGGAACCCAGTGACTTGTTCTGTCAACACACCTAAAGCTGGATGGTAGGGAGTTTGTGACCCGTAGCCCACCAGCATCACTTATCATTAGCCATGTTGATTGGGCTGATGTTAGGTACCAGGCATATCTGGAGCATTATCGGTTTACATTCCTGACCTGAAATTTCTTTGATGTTTACAATATTTTTATTTAAGAGTAATATCCTATGCATATTTATTCCAAAATAATCCTCACAAGATTTATATGCCTACATATGCTTAAGTCTATGTAGGATTGTTTGGTGGAATTAAAGTTGCTTGGTGGAATTAAATTCAAGATTAACTGTTTTTATTTCCTAAAACTTCAACCCTGATAGTTCCATAATATTATCTGGCAGAATTAAACTGCAATAGTGCTAAGCACTATTAATTACACTTTCACAATACTCCAAATAGTAATAAAATCATTGAGACTAGCGCTATTCTAGTCAGCTCTTCCCAGCAGTGATTCTTAAAAGTGTAACTCAATGCAGTTAAACATGTTCTAAAGATTTTTCTGAAGATTAACATCACAAAGAGACAGATGATCATATCATATCCTTTATACATTATTTGACAAGGCATGGAGAGGAATTTCACAGAGAACCAATTATCCAAAGCAAATTATTGAGAAGCAGAGAAATGGAGATGAGTCAAGAGTATCAGGTAAACAAACCAAAAGACCCTTCTCTAAACAAATCCTTGGATTTAAGAGAAGAACTTGGAAAAAAAAGATGGCATAATTCACAGAAGTGGTTCAAAATGAAGACTGCAGAGAATCATGAGAGTGAAGAGCAAAAATCATAAACCAATAAAGACATGACTTAAAGACATCATTAAATAGGATAAACTAGGAAAAGCTGCATGTTTAAAACAGGGAACTGCTGGCTACACTCACTGGGGTGAATAAAAATCTTAGATTTGGATAGAAAAGGGATCGCTTAAAGACTGGTAGTTTTACAACAGTTCGAAGTTATTAATGGCCATGAAATGGATGCTTTATAGCCTGTTAAGCACTCCTGGCTGTCAGAAATGGTCACGTCCCCCCCTCACAATCACATGACCACATGTTGGGTGGGTCAGCTTTATGACCAGTTGTGGTATTCAATGGTCCTATAACCACAATTTGTGATGTTTCTGGCAAAAAAAAAAAAGCCCATTCAAATGAATGGGTTCGTTTAATGACTGCTGTGCTCATTTAACAACTGCTGCAAAAAAGTCCTGAAAATTACCTCTGGTTATGAGGGTGCTTCAACTTACGACTACAACAACTTATGGCCATAATTATGGTGTCAATTACAGTCATAAGTCAAGGACTATCTGTAGAAATTAGAAAATTAGTAAATGAATTGTGAACATGCATCATATTGCCTCAATATTTTGAATGTTATATTATTTTAGAAATGGGGAAAATTTTATATGATAGTGTAGTTTGACAAAAAAGTAATCAAGGGGAAGAGGATTGGTTGAAAGTTTTTGGCTTTTTTCAGTGGTAGACAGAAGTATGTGTGAAAAGGGAGAAGAGAACAAAAATGGTTAAAAATATAACCATAGAATTGAATCAAAAGAGACAATCTGTAGTTCTCATCAATCCTAAACAATCCTTAGATCCTGAATGTGTTATTTGCCTCAGTTTTGATGTGCAGTGATATCAAAATAGTTATCCATGCTTTGGTTAGATAAGCTTAAGCCTTTGTAAAACCCAGCCCACAATGCATATCTTTTGCACCCTAATGCTTACATTGGTGTAAATTTCAAAATTAGTGTGTGTGTATGTTACATTATACTTATGCTATAATGTATAATATAAACATTTACATAAAAATATGTACTGCAACAGTATTTTTTTAAGAGAAGCTACCAAATTTTAATAAAATTGAAAGTGAACTAACCACATGCTTTTCTGGTCAATAATCAGAGTATATATGGATCTTCAATCCAAGATTAAAGTTATCAGTTTTCAAATGGCATTTATTTTAATATATGTTGTTTTTTCCTTTTAACGTGTGGCAAAACCTGGTGACAACATGTGCATAGGGTTCTGGTGAAGGCAGCAAACCACCCATTTCAAAAGAAATTGGGGTGAAAAATGTGGTAAAAAGAATGTAGATAATTAAAAGAAAAGAAACACGTTTCTGGGGGGGGGGAAGTGTCAGGGAAGAGTAGAGCGGAATTTTCAACTATTTTCTTTTTCCAGGGAGAGCAAAACATGATTTTTAACTAGCAGACAGGATATTTTAACAGCCACATTAGCTGAAACTCTCCTAGGAATAAAACGATCCTCAGCAAAATAAGCTGGTATGGAGAACTGTTCAAAGAAACCATTTGAAATTTATGGGATAGCAAGAAATTCAAAATATAGTAGCTTGTCAACTGGGATATATGAAATGAAAATATTAAATGAACCCTCTTTTTCCATATTTGTTTTTAGGTGCAGTTAGAAATAGGATTTGAAAAAGGGACCAAAGGAAAGGTCTTGAACCCAAGCTAGAAGACTTGCGTAAAATGTAATGATTTATTACCCATTGTTGCCAATGAAGATCTCTTGATAAAAAAGCAGAATCAAATTTAGTTGACTAAGAAATTAAATTTGGTTTCATATAATTATATACTGTAGTTTGTTAAATTACAGGTGGGCATAGAATCAACATTATGGGTTGAGGAAGAAAAAGGTATTAATAGCAGAAATGACATCAAGGTTTCCTATGGTCAGAGAATATTATTTTTAACTGAGCTGAGAATAAAAAAAAAAAATGGGGCTATTTATATAGGATTAAGACAAGCCAGAATTTAAGAAAGAAAAAGTAGCTGAAGAGCAAGTGCAATTAAAAGAAGGTTAATTGTGAGAGTTGGATAAATTAATCCCACCAGCAAGTGCCTTTATTCTATCTTGAGTTATTCAACATTCATAAAGCAATCTTCAAATACAGGAAGTCCTCAACTTGTGACCACAATTGAGCCCCAAATTTATGCCGCTAAGTGAGACATTTGTTAAGTGAGTTTTGCCCCATTTTACAACTTTTCTTGCCACAGTTGTTAAGTGAATCATTGGCTTCCCAAATTTGACTTTGCTTGTCAGAAGGTCACAGAAATTGATCATACGACTCTGGGACACAGCAACCTTCGTAAATATGAATCAGTTGCCAAGCGCTGGAATTCTGATCCCATGACCATGGGGAGGCTGCAACGGCCGTGTGAAAAATGGTCATAAGTCACTTTTTTCAGTTGCTGTTGTAACTTTGAACGGTCACTAAGCAAACTGTTGTAAATCGAGGACTACCTGTAATCCCAGACAGAATAAGGATTAACATTCCCTTCATGCAAAACATTCACACAGCCAGTGATTATTTCTTCTTCCAAGATACCATAATTTAAGGAAACCCCTGGCTCCTATCAATATCATTACTAAACTGTAATAAAGCTAATATTTAGCCTATTGCTCCCGACGTTCTACTTATTTCCTATGAATCTATGCAGTAAGGAAACACAAGTTAGACATACCAGAAAATCTGAATAACTAGGTTGGCTGTCAGATTTGCTTTTCTTGCACTCTTCTAAGGATGCTTGGTTCAGGGAATATAGAGGTGTGCTTTTGGAAGAAGTCTGCAAAATGTAATTGCAATACACACCTAGTCTCAAATTACATCAAATATAAAATATAGCCAAGCAAATAGCTGTTGTAGATCAGGGGGAAATAATTTTATCTACTTTTTTTAAAAAATGATTTTTTAAGAAATGATTTCAGATAACCACTGACATGGCAAATTGCAGAACCACGCCTGCCTTGAGTGATGGGGGAGAGGGGACTGTCAGATTGTTTAGCATTTGGATGGGAGACCACTAAGCTAGAATAAAAAAGAAAGAAAAAAAAAGCCATTCTGGTAGAAGGCAATAGTAATTTCTTATCAAGAAAATTTCCCAGAAGTGTCCATGTAGTTAAACAAACTTGAGAGACTTGTTTGAGGACTAGAGCAAGGGTATCAAACTCGCCACGTCACGTGACATGACTTATCGCGACTTTTTTTCCATTGCCGGCCCGTGGGCTGGCAGTTTGACACCCCTGGACTAGAGCATTGTCTTATAAAATCTGTTCTATGTCTCACACTATTATACAACTTATTATCTCATCCAGCTGGTTAAAAAAAAAAAAATCAATAGCATTCATAATGATAGTTGTTTCAATTGGCCTTTTGAGTTATCGCCCGAATGTCATCAATCAATTATTAAACATAGTTAAGAGTAGTCCATCGGTTTCAGATAGTTAGGTTTATACAGTATTTACCTGAAAGGTAAACCAGACCTTTTATTTTCTCTGAATAATTTATCTAAGATGAATGGGATCAGATTCACTGAGAATATATTACGGTAGTAAAGAGGCAGCTTTCTGGATAATCTTTTGCGGGAATAAGTTGTCCACTTAAATTCAGTACTGGCAATCAAAATTCTCTGGGAGGAAGCTAACAATTTCTCATTCATGAAACAATTGCTTTCTGCATGCCTAAAGGAGAAAGTAAGTCATATCTAATGTACTATAATGGAATTTACTTCCAGATATTTATACAAAGAACTGTAATGAAAGTAAAGATAATTTTTTACATTCTTCTATTTGTTATGTAAACAGTCATAATACATCATGAATATTCTTCATTCTGTACTATGACCTTTCCTTAACAACTTAAAACTGTATTAAACTTATAATCTTTTCAACTGTACACAATATTTTCAACAATCTTACGCAAACATACATTATGAAGAAGTATTTTCTCAGAAATGGAAAAATACTGATCTGTTACTTTTCAAAAAATATGTGAATATGAGATGCAATTCAGCATACACTTTGGAAAGTCATGCTCCTAAACTTTAGTATTACAGGTCTAATGAATTTTTATATAAATAATTTTGTATAAATCCAAGAGCTGAATCCCTGCTAAGAATGTGAATTTTTCTTAACATTTGCAATTTTATTATGATCCATATGAAATATTTTCTGTAGAATATTATGTAGGCAAAAAATGGACCATTGTGGTGTTCGTCATAACTTTGCATGTCATGTTTCCTATGATCAATAAGACAATAGCTGAGCTTTCATTGAGTAGCAGTCAAAACATTTTTGCTAAGTTTGGAAAGCCCTTTAATATAAATAAATAGCAATAGCATTTAGTCTTACAGTATATACTATTTCATAGTGCTTTATAGCAGAGTTCCCCAATGTTTCCAGCTTTGCGGACGGGTGGCGGGGGGATGGTTCTGCACGAGCAGCATGCCTGCCACTTACGTAAATAGAGCGCATGCGCTCACCCACTGCTTGCGCAAATGAGGATGTGCGTGTAAACTCACTGGCCATTACTGCGGCCCAGTTGTAAATCCCTAGCCCACAGGTTGGGAATTCTGCTTTTCTGAGTGGTTTACAATGTCAGCATGTTGACCCCTCAACAATCTGGGTACTCATTTTACCAACCTTGGAAGGATGGAAGTCTGAGTCAACCTTGAGCCCTGTTAGGATTGAACTCCATACTGTGGCAGAGTTAGCCTGCAATATTGCATTCTAACCACCTCACCACCAATCTATTTATTATAAATTGATAAATATGGATTATTTATAAATCAAATAAACTTTGAAAAGTAATATCACAAGAGGCACAATTATTTGCTTACCAAAATAAGATTAAATTCTATTAAAAAAAATCTTAACCTCATATACACAGAGCAAAATTAAATAATCTTTGCTGATACATTTTTACAATAAAAATTATGTTGCCAGAACCAGTTAGAGATGTTAATTATACATACAAACATAGAAAGCATAGCTTGTATTCCTTTAATATCCAAAACAAACAAGAAATTAGAGGAACTTAAGGTACTTTTGAATAAGCACTCATGGAAAGATTATTAACACTTGTCAATTCAAGTTGAGTTCAGTTTTTTGCTTTTTTGTTCAAAGCTGTACTGATTCAGGAGTTTAGGTTAAAGCTTACAAATGAAATCCAGTGTATCATATGTGGCTTCTCAGACACATTGTTATCCTCTCTCTAATCCTGAGGGAAACACCTGTGGATGTCAATCACCAAGCAGATCAGCCAGTAATAGAGCAATCAGGGAGAAGTATAAATCAAGCTGGCTCATGTGCCATGTGATACACAAATGCCTTGCCCACAATGAAAGAAACCCAGCCAATGTTGATCAAAAAGTGGATTTGCACTGTGTTCCCCCAAACCTGAAGATACAACTGCTCATTATTTTATTACGTTCCAACAACCAGACCAAGTTTTAAATAGAATTGTGATCAATTTTACTCACTTTGGTTTGAAGTGACAGTTTATCAGGAGCAGAACTGCTGGTTGCTATGTTACTACAACTGGATGCTTTCAGTACAGTTAAGTTTGAGGCCACCTGAAAAATATAGTTATAGTCAGAGATAAGAAACTTGTGGACATTTTAATTAGCAGCACATTAAAGTTTAAAACCAGTACTAATTTATAAGAACATATTCTTAGGTTATCTCAGTCTAGAGTCTAGACCAGTGATTCTCAACCTGTGGGTCGGGACCCCATTTGGGGTCGAACGACCATTTCACGGGGGTCACCAAACAACGCAGTCCGCCATTTTTTCCCCCTTTGCCTTAGCTGTACTACTCCCTTTTATTCTATTGGCTTTTGAAAGCCAATAGAATAGACTCTCTTGAATAGAGTCTAATTCTATTGGCTTTCAAAAGCCAACAGGAATTGTCCAGGCTGTCTCTGCCCTGCTAAGCCCGCCAAAAGTCCCATTCTGCAAACGGTGCTGCACCAGTTGAGTAGTCCTCGACTTACGACTGGTTGAGTAGTCCTTGACTTACGACTGGTTGAGTAGTCCTTGACTTACGACTGGTTGAGTAGTCCTTGACTTACGACCGGTTGGGGGTCGCGGCATTAAAAAGGTTGAGAACCACTGGTCTAGACAAAGACCTTTAAGAGTCTTCTTTTTCAGGACTGCAGTACTATATTAGATTAAGGCAACAAAAATTCAGATAAAAGACAGGGAAAAAAGATAACTTCTTACTGCCATTTAGTGGGTAACAACTGTTTACCCGGACTGTGGAGTCCTTGGTGCTGAGCTTGGTTGCTTGCAGATGATCCTATTTAATTGGAAAATGAAACATCTGCAAGCAAACAACCAAGCTCAGAGACCTCAAGAATTTCCCAGTTCAATCCAGAGCTACGTAAATTCTCTTTGATATCTGGATTAAAATAACTATCAATTAATTAACCAGTGGAATGGCTTGCTTTCAGAAGTTGTGAGTGCTCCATCACTGGAGGCTTTTAAGAAAAGACTGGACATCCATTTGTCTGGAGTTTCCTGCTTGACCAGGGGTTTGGTTTAGAAGACCTCCAAGGTCCTTCCAACTCTGTTATTCTGTTAAAATTATCTATTCCCTACAAACCTCCTTTCCATATGGCTGTTTTTTCAATATTATTTAGAAACTGAAGTTGACTCCAAACAGAATAGCAAGTTTGGTCAAGTGAAGCTAGGATTGATATGCTAATACTGTGAGATTTCCAGCCCTAATTTAAAAAAAAAAAAAAACCATTCTGCTGATTTTAGCTTCTAAAGCCATCAAAAGTCTAGGACAGGGGTCTTCAAACTTGGCCCTTTTTATGACTTGTGGACTTCAACTCCCAGAATTCCTCAGCCAGGCACGCTGGCTGAGGAATTCTGGGAGTTGAAATCCACAAGTCATAAAAGGGCCAAGTCTGAAGACCCCTGGTCTAGGACTAGCATACCTAAAGATTGACTTCTTGAGTTCTTTATCAAAAGCTATCAAAATATAACCTCATCAAGTGAAGTGAGCTAGGTGGCTACTAGGGACCGCATCTTCTTAGAACTGGCATTAGCTGTGAAATGGCCTCATCCAAGAGGATGAGGCATCTTTGTTCTGATCTCTTGGATACCATGGCAAAAAGTTTCTCCCAGCCTTTTGCAGAAGTTGCTATCTTTCTGTTTTATGCTGGTTTTGCCATACATATTGGTATTGCTGTACTATTATCACTGTTATAATTGTTACTGTTGTAATTATTTTTAAAGCTGATTTTATTTCTTTCTACTGAAAATATCCTGCAACTTGTTTTAGAATATTGAAAAGCTATATTTTTATTATATTATGTCAGAGTTGCTGAGCCAAAAGAAAGTTTTAGGGTGGCCTATACCAGGGCTTTTCAACCTTTTCACCCATTGTACCACTTTTAGGATATGGCAACATCCAAGTACCACCAGTCGCCTAGCAAGGTGTCAAAAATTTGATAACCAAAAAAAAAAAAAAAAGGAAAAAAGTGATAAAGTACAGGTAGTCCTTGACTTACAACAGTTTGCTTAGTGACTGTTCGAAGTTACAATGGCACTGAAAAAAGTGCCCCCCAAGCCACAGCCGAGCAAGACACCTGCCTGTCCACCCAGTGGTGCTCTTTCTCCTGTCCGAGGTTTTCATTATTGTGAGCAGTGGGGGTGGAGTGGAGGGTATTGGTTTTTATTCCCCCCGTCTGCTGGGTAGTTGCAGCAGGTTTTGGTCACTTCACATGACTCTGGGACACTGGGACCATCATAAATATGAATTGCCAAGCATCTGAATGTAAATCACTAGAGATGCTGCAACATTCCAACTGATCGGCACTTCTGGGCTCAGCAGAAGCGCCAGGATCAGTGCTGAGCTCCAGCTGGATCCTGGCACTGATCCTGGCGCTTCCACTGAGCCCTGACAGCCCAGCAGCTCCAGCCATCTCTCGCTCAGGCTTGTGCGGTGCTGCCACCAGTTCAGCTCAGTCCCCTCCCCTGCTACCACTTTTCTAGGATGGTCGCGTACCACCTGCCAGGTGCCAATGTACCACAGGTGGTACCCTTACCACTGGTTGAAAAGCCCTGGCCTATACTACAGACAATCAAGATAGGATTCTAATAGATTTAGTCTCATTTTTTAAAAGTACTTAGTAATCCGGAAATTGCCTTTAACATACAGCAATCCAAATATATTTATCCATTTTTGTGCAGAATAGTTATATGGCTATTCTGAAACTATGGTAGAAATGCTTAAGACATTCCTGTGACAATGGACCTGCTAAAATTCCCAAGATATCTGTCAGGTTCCAGGTTTCTTTCGATTTTTAAGATTTTTTTTTTTAAAAAACTGAAAGCTAATAACTAAAGGGCCAGCTTCAAACATAGTCTCTTATTACCAAAAATACTTTTGAGTCCCATACAGCTTTACAAACTGAAAATAGTGGGGTTTTGTAGCCTACTATCTGACTTGAACCTCTGCACACCTGCCCAAAAAAAAAAGACAAAAATAAGAAGTAGGGAGCAATTTGGAGGCAATGACGGACAAGGAGAAAATTCAACAGTCCTGGAATATAGGAGTTTCAAAATGAGCCCTTCACAATAGACCCTACAATATTGTATTATATTCCTGACTTTTTATACCATGTCTCATTTATACACAGGACAAACAGGATGAAAATTTGTTAGCAACTAAGCATTCAGAAAATATTTTACTTTGCGTTTTTTGTTTGGAGTTGCAGTATTCACATGGGCAGATCTCTTCATAGCTCCTTTTGGAGTTGCAGACTCATGCGACTTCACTGACTGAAACATAAACAGTTATAGTAAATGTTGATACATTTTACACCAATCTATATCCAATCATGCAGACAACCATGATCTCCACCTTTTGATTATTGTTAAAAGATGGACAAGAATATTGACCATTCTGTCTTTTCATTCTCTCCTTCAAATATGAATTACATTCAGATAATTGTTACTCATTAATCTAGCCAAAATTCACCTCTAACATATTTGCAAACAGCTGCTAACCATGCTTTGAGTTCACTTATTGAGCAACTTCAAAATGTTGGGAAAGGGGACAAAAAGATAGCAAAGGTATAATTAGTTAAAAAAAAACCCACTTTCCTAAGTTTCAATAATGTGATGCTTACATCTAAAAAAAAAAATGTAAAAGACCTGTCTTCAAGCATGAAACCACTTTATTCCACAATAAAAGCACCGAAATCATGAATAACAACTTACTGTTTTGGGTTGATCTTTTTTAAGTTTGTATTGTTGCAGCTGATGAGCCATGGAAACAAGAAACCTCTGGCTTCTAATAACGAAATCTGAATTATGTTCCTTCTCCCAAGTCTCAATATTTTTCTTCAGTTCTTCCCCTAACTAAATTTGTAAAAGAAATGTCTACGTTAATTATTCTGCAATGTTAACTATGTATTTATTCCATTTCTATAGCCGCCCAACTCAACCAAGTGCCCAAGTAATTAGTTTCAAATATAAAAAAGGCTTACTCATAATACTACTTCAGAATAAAACTTTTTATGTCTTAACTGTATTCTGTTAAAACACACAATGCAAAGAAATCATCAATAATTTTAAGAGGTATGTCAATAGAAACATATATTTTCCATTTGAGGAATTTATAGACAGGTTTACTTATATACATAAAATTTTTGCAATCTACAGAAGAGCCTTATGAAATGAAGCTAGAATAAGAGAGCCAATATAATTATATTAACTTCATGTTACATTGCAGCTCTTTTAACCTGCACTGTTACAGTATTTGATGTTTGTCTTTTTATTTAGAGAGGTTCACGATTGCTAATCTTTCACTGTTACCCCTATTCTCAACATACATACATACATACACAAATGAGAGAAGCTATGAAAACATTGTCCTGGCATTTTACCTTTAACAACTGCTTTTGGATCTTTGAACGTTCCCTTTCGTCTTTTAGCAAGTTACCCCCTCTGTTTAGGAGCCTGCTTGGATCGGTTGATTTTTTCTAAACACAAACAAATTACATACTGAATAACCAAACATGTATTTACCGATAGCAACTTCAATTTCACTATCAATCCTGTCATAAGGGGATCTTCCTTCAGACCTACAGCCAAAGCATAATGCTTACTACACATGTATTGGATGTAATTTTCTCATTTCATCAACTTAATGCTAGAGTAGGTTTTATTTTGGTGATCTATTTATAACAAGAAAACAAACCAGACAAGTCTAAAAAGTCCAAGAATAATATCAAAGTAATAAAATGAAAATACTGTTTATTCACTCAATGACCAGCAAAAATTGAAAATATACAACACCAAAGTAAAATCATATGGGTGAGGTAAAATACTGTACTAGCGTAACAAATTATATGATAATATTTCTAGATAATACATTTTCCAGTTTAGATACAGGCAGTCCCCCAGTTAAAAAAATCTGACTTAAGGACATCCCCTAGATATGAAGGGGCTGCCTATTAGTAAAAAAAATGGCAGACCACATTCTCTTTTCTCAAGCTGACAAAGCACTGCAGCACACAATACTTGAAGACCCAGTAAAGCGGCATGTTTTCATATATAGTCTATTTTCAGCAGTTCCTGAAAGCATTGAGTGGGTTTAGTGCTACATTGGCTGCAGGAAGGGGAATGCCTTCTGCTATTTTTAGTAATAGGCAGTCCACCTGTATATATGAGTTTTGACTTAAATATACATTCTGGTTAAAGACAGGGTTAGGGAATGGAACTCGTTCATAACTCAGGGACTGTAGGAAAAGAGAAGGCAGAGCTGAGAGGGGGACAGTTAAGTGTGTCATCAGGTTAGAGTCATTACGTTCCCACAACTGATCCAAGTCCAACTCCTCCTGAATACCCCTGACCCTTATCCGGCACCAATTTAGTGTTGAACTTCAGTTGACTAGATTCTTGTCTATAAAGCTTCTATGATACAACCTAATGGATGGCCCTGCCTCTTTGCACCTGACCTGTAGGAATGTAATGACTCTAAGCTGATAATGTGATTAACTCCTCTCCCCCCCAGCTTTCTGCTTTTCTCCTAAAGTAATGCCTGTATTGTACCTGGATTAGTTTTAAGAATGCTAGAAATAAAAAAAAAGAACTATAGTTTCCAGGTTTTAAGAATAAGATAATTTCTCAAATAAATAGGGTTTCTGATTGAAATTGAGTTGGGTTTCTTCTCTCAGTCTATTAAAATTTGCAGTTATAAAGAATAAGATCAATACAGAAATCAGCTTCGCTGATCTCATGGCAAAAAACGCCTATTACTTTGAATTTTGTCATTGTTGCAACATCCTTTTTCTACCATTTACTTTTAAAAATCAAATATCTTTCTTCCCATTCAGCTTACTAGGTTGGCATTCTCAAAATCTGTTTTTCTGGGGACAATGGGGAGATATTATAACTCTTCTGGAAAATTCCAGCACTGGGCAAATACTGTGTTCTGACTCACGTCAGAAAAGAGTATTTGCCGTAATTTTTTTTAAAAAATAATAAACTACCCCAGACAATTAAAAAAATATAAGCACTGAAAGAGCATCTACCTGTAATTCAATAAAGCGATCCAGAATGGCCTCCCATTTATGAATACTATCATAAACACACTTGGCTTCTTCATAAAGCACTTTTATTTTGAAAAGTTCCTCGTCATGATGGCTCAACAATTCTTCTGAGAAATTTTCTACACAAATCAGAAAACACACCTTTCGTTAAACCTTGCAAAAAATAACAAGACTAGAAAAAACACATTCATTGTGTCTGAACCCAGAAAATGTTTTGCCATTTGTCCCACTATTCCAATAAACAATACTTAAGAGATAGTTCTTGGGTTGCATTCAAAGTTAGGATGCTGCTGAAATAGGAAGACTTATAACGAGTCCTCAGAGTTCTGGCTGTCCTAGCATTCCCAGTGACGTGTTTGTGATCTGGGTACTCTATGCCAGAGGTCCCCAACCTTTTGAGCACCAGGGACCGGTTCCATGGAGAGAGTTTTTCCACGGACCAGAGGGGGGCGTGGTTTTGTGTCCTGCCTGAATCCTGCAGATGGGGCTTTGTTTGTTTGTACAGCCCGGTTGCTGGCATGCCGTGGCCCGGTACCGGTCCACGGACCAGGGATTGGGGACCCCTGCTCTATGATGGGCTGGATGCCAAAACAAAGCAAGATTAGGCATACACTTCAAAAGAGACCAGGAAGACTGTAATTGGAGCATTTGTCTGGAAAGAACAAAGAATGTTTATTCACAGGGAATATGCACGTGTAAAGTTTGTAACAATTCTGTGTGGTTAAAAAGGTGATAAAAGTAACAGAAAAGGAAATCCAGAACCAAGCTGCACACATAGCAAAGATAGCTGCAACCCCACACATTAAAAAAAAAAAAATGGGAAGGCTGGTGGCATTGGCTGACAGGATGGTTATCTGATTTCAACTAGTTGAGAATCCTAATAATGAGCCTGATGGGTATAGTCATTGTTCTCTTAATCACCTGTTGTGGATTACAATGCCTTCCAACTTTGCCTTTCTGCCTATAGGCAAACTATGCAGTCTACCTGTACACGGATATTGATGCTGGGTGAATCTTGGAAAATGAAATCATTTTCAGATTCAAAGGGGGGGAATGATGGGCTGGATGCCAAAACAAAGCAAGATTAGGTATACACTTCAAAAGAGATCAGGAAGCCTGTAATTGGAGCGTTTGTCTGACAAGAACAAAGAATGTTTATTCACAGGGAATATGCAGGTGTAAAGCTTGTAACAATTCTGTGTGGTTAAAAAAGTAACAGAAGACTTAGGCATCTTGCAAGCTCAGCTAAAAGCTAGGAATGGAGATGGCCTGGAGCAAATAGGATGTGTATTAGATAACTCCTGAAGCATTCATTAAGCAAGGCTTAGGAATAGGGACAGCTAGAGACCAACAGGATAATTGTTAGATTATTATTGAAATGTTTATTAGATGATATTTCTTATATATCCCACCTTATCCTGCCTTCTACTTTAGAGAAAATGTATAAAACTTCATTAATTCTGTGGTTTGAGGTTCCTTGGCATTTTGGCCAGGATCCCTTTTCTTGGAGCTCTTCAATAAAAGCCTGAACTTTGTGTCTGGTGTTCTTCATCGGCCTCAGCACCAGGCTAAGACCCGAATTGGGGACAACATCTATGTCAGGGGTAGGCAACCTTGGCTCTTTTATGACTCGTGGACTTCGATTCTCAGAATTCCTGAGCCAGCATGGCTGGCTCAGGAATTCTGGGAGTTGAAGTCCACGAGTCATAAAAGAGCCAAGGTTGCCTACCCCTGATCTATGTCATCGAGGCTAGCTGCACTCATATGATCATGATTTCGTATGTTTCCTGCCAATTTCCCACAAGTCAGTGGGGAAGCCAGCAGGAAATTTAAAATTGTTCCCGCTACTTTTTCAGCCATGCCCACAGCAACCCTCTCATATGCTTTTAATCTCTTTGCTTTCAAGCACAGGACTTCCCACGGGTAAAGTAAATAATGATTACATTTAAAATTTAAAAACATATGCTACAATGAATTACCATCATAAAAGGGCTGAAATGCGGCTTTTTGTTCATCGGTATAAAAGCATTTTTGCCAATAGCTCTCAAGCTCTTGCCTGACTTTCAAAGTAATTTCTTTAAGTTTCTCTTTCTTCAGCTCTTCTAAGGCTTGCAATTCTTTCTCCCACTAATGAAAACAAGATGAAACCATTGTCAATGGTTACAAAATATACTTCACTTATTACATTCATGTTAGTAGTGGAGAGAGAGATCAAAATTCTCCTTCTATTACCAGATTTGTGGCTTCGCAGATGGAACACTGGCTGGTCATTTTTGTGAACTCTTCTTGTTTTTCTTGTGGCCACTGAAGTCTGTCCCACAGAAGTTGAACCGCTTTCATTATGACCTCCTTGGTGGCTGTCAGAGACTCTTTCTTCTTCTGCAACTACAAAGGCACACTCAAATCAGTACATGCAAAAAAGGTTATCTAAAGAATGGAGAACTAAGGGTTTGGTCTAGCGGTTAAGACACCAGGCTAGAAAATGGGAGAGTGTGAATTCTAATCCTACTTTAGCCATAAAAATTAGCTGGGTGACTTTGGGCCAGTCATCTCTCTCAGCCCAACTCATTCTGCAGGGTTGTTGTTGTTGTGGGGAAAATATAAGGAGGAAGCTGTGTTGGATATATTCACAGCCTTGAGTTATTTGTAAAGATAATAAAGATGGGATACAAATGAATAAAAACTAAGGAAAGTGAACTCTGTTTCTCTTAAAATAGTAGCCTAAAGGGAAAAGCAAGTCAGATCTAACAGAACCTATGTTGACTAGGTAAGTCAACAGGGAAAAAAGGCCCAGTTTCCATGTTCCTTTGCTCAATAAAGGATAATGGTTGATACTAGAACACGATCTCTTTCTCTCTCTGTATGTATGTTCAAACATTGTAAGAGACTGAAAACAACAATTAAAATGCTATTAAATAGCTTTTAATAAGCATAACCTTAACCTTGTCAATCGTTTGCACAGGCTGCTAATACTGGACAGATCCAAAAGATGAGCCTGAGCTAAAGAAAACACTAATTAAATTAATTAAAACTTGATTTATTATCATTCTTACCATCACCCCTTTGCAATGTTACAAAGTCTAGTATAGGGGTGTCAAATCTGATCACATCACAGGCCACACCATGATGTACCGGGACTTGTGTTGCCTTTGCGGGGCCAGGATAGGAATGGCCTGTGCAGGCCACATCCGGCCCGTGGGCTGCTGTGTTTGACATGCCTGGTCTAGTAGACTGATAAACCACATTGTATAAATGCTATGAATCCACACAAAGAAAAGCTAAGATACTTTCATTTTGGAGCCTTCCTTGCTTTTTATGAAATATGATGTTAAACAATATTGTGAGTTAATAGTTCAAGTAATCGATTCACAAAAAGCCCAACCTGATGGATAAGCAGTTGGAGATCTTCAAGGTATTTTTTTGTAAGGCAAATGTACCCTTCTTCGTCGTCACATAACGTATTATTTTCCAGTGTTCCATCAGGTACATGCCCAATTTCTTTACTATATAGTCTGATTTCTCTCCTCAGTTTATGAAACTCTTCTAATCTTTGTTCCTGTTCAAATAAATAAATGTCTTAAAATTAAAGAGATCATTTTAATTTATTCCATTTTTTATTTTTACTGTTATGCAATTTAGAATCTGCCCAACTCATAATATCACAAAGGAAATTAAATACCGTATTAATAAGAAAAAAAAACCCAAGATAAAAAACAAATACAAGAACAAATAAGATGGGCAGGCACTGCAGCATGGAAGATACACTTCCTACAGTAGTTCCTAAAAGATAACACCGATTGAAAGGGTCTGGAGTATGCCAATCTTGTTGGCTCATATCAGCCAGGCAGATACCATGGAAGATAGACAGTCCCCTTAAACCATGGCTGTTTCAACAAACTTGGGGATTCCGTGCCAACAGTGACTCCATGTATTGGCTGCATCATGCATAATATTCTGATGTGTTCTTTCATTACCTTTTTTCTAAATTTACATTTGTTTTACTTGGTTTTTGTATACTGTTTCAACTGTTGGTTTTACTGTAAGCTGCTAAGAGACAACTTGTGTGGGATGGGTGGCCGTATAAATTTGATAAATAAATCACTTATGGTCCAGCGAGGGAGTTGGCACTCTGAAGGTACTCCGGACAACTGTCCCCCATAAAGAACCTTGTAAGAAGAGGTTATTAGTTGACTTTCCATTCATCATAAAATAGAATCTCTGCATATTCCTCCATTTCATGCTTAATTTGATTACAAATTCTTCGCATGTTCTGGATGAAAGTCAAAGTTTATCTTCTGGCAGCAAACTTTATAGAATTTTCAGTGCAGATGAGGTGAAGAACAGAGAGATCTCACCATGCTCACTCATTCTTTTTCGCTCAAGAAAACAGAGTGCTCATTTTAGCTTATTTTTTTCACTGCAATGTCTGATTTGCTAATGAAGAGATATTAAGTCAGTACCGTACCTTTACTTCCAGAAGATTTGTAATATGTTCTTTTAGTTCTTCCAGCTCTGTGGTATTTGGAATACTGCCAGTAGGGATATAATAAGGGGCTACACAAAGCTCTGTACACAACGCCTGATCTTCTCTTTGTAGCTGTGTCAACTTCTCCAGCCGCTCCTGTTTTTCTTTAAGAGCCCTTTCTAAAGCCAGACGATATTCCTTCTCTGACTGAAGGATAGTTAGTCCATCATCAGCCTATAAAGTTATGCAGCAAATATATATATATATATATTTAGCACTTCTGTGAGTGGCCTCTCTCCTATTGTTTGCTGATTCTACTAGAACAGAATAGAACAGAACAGAGCTGGAAGGGACCTTGGAGGTTTTCTAGTCCAGCCCCCTGCTCAAGCAGGAGAACTATACCATTTCAGACAAGTGACTGTCTAGACTCTTCTTAAAAACCTCCAGTGATGGAGCGCCCACAATTAAACAGGGTTGGTTCTGCTATGTGGAAAGAGCCGAAGTCAAGCCACTCCAAGGTCAACTTATGTGAGGGTCGCCAGTGAATTCGGGGAGCATTAACCCTCAACCATCCCACCCCAAGCAGGAAAAGTCCCCAAGAGGAGGAGAAACGTGGAGAGATTTCTCAGCTCACTAGTTCTAATACAGCAGGTTCCATATTCCATCGTTACAACTGGACCTTGGAGATACATCTTTTTTATGGCTACCTTCATGCTGTGAAATAATGTCAGCTCACTCACAAAGTCCACTTGGCCCAGATCCTGTGGTTGTAAGGGAAAGCCTTAAAACAGACCAGTGGGTGATATGTAACCCTATGCTAACATTGGCATTTTACAGCTTGATTCTTCTTATTTTCTTCCCCAATATAGGTAGCTAAGTGTATATTCCAAAGGTGAGGTTGCAATGATTATTAATTATCTTGGCTAACTCTCTTCCTACAAGGGAAGAGGTTTTGGGGTGGTTTTGCTATATATTGCCTGCTGAATCTTGGCTTAAAAAAAAGGTGAAAATACTCAAATAGCAGAATATCTCTGGGGAGTTGCAGAGTAAGAAAGAGTACAAAGAAGAGCAACAACAAAGATGATTAGGGGACCGAAGGCCAAAGCATATAAGGAAAGGCTGCTGGAATCGGGTATGTCTAGTTTAATGAAGAGAAGGACAAGGGGGGACATGATAGCAGTATTCCAATATATCAGGGGCTGCCACAAACAAGAGGGAGTCAAGCTATTCCCCAAAGCGCCTGAAGGCAAGACAAGAAGCAACGGATGGAAACTAATAAAGGAGAGAAGCAACCTAGAACTAAGGAGAAACTTCCTGACAGTTAGAACAATTAACCCGTGGAACAACCTGCCTCCAGAAGCTGTGAACGTTCAAACACTGGAAGTTTTTAAGAAGAGACTGGACAGCCATTTGTCTGAAATGGTATAGGGTTTCCTGCCTGTGCAGGGGGTTGGACTAGATGAACTCCAAGGTCCCTTCCAATTTTATTATTATTATTAAGAAATATCTGGTGCTAAATAGGTGCTGGGACTCTACAACACTGAGATGCAAGAAGCCTCACGCTTACCATTGCTAGCATGGAATTCCAATTTATAGAAGTAAAAAAACAATAGGCAGTCATTTACAAAATTCTTAGGCAATGAACAATTGAACAATCAACTGAAATAAGCTTATTACTCTCCCCTTTGCTGAGAAACACACTATTTTCCCAATTTGCTTCAAAAAGAAATCCCTCAGAAAATTACTATCTCCGTCATCAAGCTGCATTCAATTTAATTTACAGTTATTTGTTTTTTAAATATTCATCACTACAAAAGTCAAAGCAGCTTAGCATTTAGAAAATGCTAATAAAAAATTCTAAAACATTAAAAGCAATAAATACCAAAACCATCAATCTGAATATTAATTTGTACTGCAAGTTTAAAAAATCAATTAGGGCATGAAATTCAGGAGATGAAGAGGCAATCTGGGTGATTTTTATTTTCTGCAAAGTCTTTATAATAAAGACCAACTTAATTTCCACCAGATTTCCATTTCATACTTTGAATGTGCCTACCAAAAAAATTATAATACAAAACCACTGGAAACAAACACTGGACATTCTCAAAACATGTGTCACATATCGGATATCCTATTTTTGATAATACACAGATTCCCTGTATTCCATCACAGATAGTGAAATACAAATGAAATGGTATTTTCAGAATTGTGCCAAGATGAAATTATAAATAAAAGTCATTAATGGCAGCTTAATAGCACTTTAGTTTTCCGTTCTTGGGAATAATCAGCAGTTGAAAAGCACTTACCTTGTAAGGGTCTAGACCAAGTTGATCTCTCAGTATATTCAGCTGATTTTTCTGAATATCAATATCCCTTTCAATTTTTTCCTTTAAACTGCTTTCTTCATCGATCATGTCGTTCAGTAGCATCTGTCCAGAAACCCCCATGAAGCATGTCAGCATGGGTTTCTCACTGATTTAACAGTTGAACTGCTTACTTGACCAGAACCCATCAGAATCTATAGCTAGAATAAAGCCTGTCAATTAACCCAGGATTTGATGTGTGTCCAGGGGCAGTCAAAAAAAGGTATCAGATTGTTGTCAGTCATGGCTTTCATTCATGAATGTAATGAAGAGTTTTGCTGACTCTGTTTCCTCTGTATCCCTCATGCCATTTTACACATGGTTTCATGGAAAACAAATTTGGGGCATGACAACAAAATCGAGAACAGTTAAAACTAGTCCTCCATATTTCCCTGCTACAAAACAAATGTTGCGATACATCAGACAAATAAAATGATTACTTACTAAAAAAGTGAAAAACCGAGTACCTGTAATTGGGAAGAAGGCTTTTAGTTTATAATACTTTGATCTAAACTATATTAAAGTGGCAGGCTTTTTATTCTCTCCGGAGAGACAAGCCAAGAGGAGGGAGAGCGAGGTAGGAAGTTTATTCTCCGGAGAAAGAATAAAAAACTTTTTCCGCCAACTTCCTACCTCGCACTCCCTCCTCTTAGCTTGTCTTTCCAGAAAAGAGAAAATAAAATCTTCTTCCCCCAGTTAATCTCCTCTTCCCCTTTAAAAATCCCTCCCCAAGAGCCCCGCCCCGCCGCCAGCCACCGCGGAGGCAGCCGGAGCTCCTGACCTCTCTCTGCTCAATCCGCAGAGCTCCGGCAAAGCCTCCCAGCCAGTGCAGATTCCCCCCCCCCCCATTCTCCTCTCCGCTACACTTTCTTCCTTATCTCCTTCTCATCTCTTTCTTTCCACCACGTTCAGGAAGGGGTGATGGGAGGGAGCGAGATTGCCAGCGCTGCCATGTTGCTGCCGGTCTTGCTATTCTGCGTGGGGGGAGGGGGGCTGTCCCGGTGAAAGGAAGCCTTGTGGCTGCGAAGCTGGTGGTGCTGGTGGGAGGGTTGGGGGCTGCGCTGATCTACAATCTGGTTGTGTCCATCAAAGCCAGAATGCGCTCAGCCTTAACTCCAGGGGCAGCCCTGCCCTGCCCCCTGGTGTGCGCGCAAATGGAGTCCCGTCCCTGCTGGCTGTCTTGCCAAGCAAGTTGACTTCACACAGGATGCCGGCACTGACCGTCTCCTGGGTGCACACCTGGGGGGCAGGACAGAGGCAGCGGGGCAGCTCCTTGCTGGTTCCAGTGGATCTTAGTGGTTCCGATGGATCTCCAGCGGTTCCAGAGGAAGGAAGGAACGGAGGAAGGGAGGGAAAAAGGGAAGGAGGAAGGAAGGAACAGAGGGAGGAAGGAAAGAACAGAGGGTGGAAGGAAGGAAGGAAGGAAGGAAGGAAGGAAGGAAGGAAGGAAGGAAGGAAGGATGGGAGGGACCATGCCCCTTTGCTCGCCTGGTCCCACCCTCCTCCGCTGGAGACCCTCAGATCTGCCTCAGTCCTGCCCAGGCACCCCTGAAGTGAGTGATGTTGAGATGGCCACACCCATCCCAGCCACACCTGTCCACCCCATCCCCACCCCCTCAGGGCAAACACCATGCTGATGCTGAAATTGAGTTTGACATCCCTGATCTAAACCAGTGGTTCTTAACTTGGGCGATATTGCCCCCCAGGGGGCGATTTCATTTTTCAGGGAGGCGATGGAACAAAAAGGGAGCAATATGGGGGCGATGGAGCGAGACGTTTTGGGGACACTTTTGAGACTTTTTCGTACAGTGAAGGGCTGTATATCTGTCATACAAAAACATCAGATCGCTCGCTATTACTGGATTGAAATTGTGTTTTCAAATGTTCCTCCAGCTAGCTTTAGTACAGAATGCCGTACATATGTGAAGACGCATCGCTTATCTTCATGCGCATTGCGCAGCAGCCTCTACCCATACAGTGGCGTGCCATTGGCCAGAATATGGGAGATACGGGGAAAAGACTGGAAATAAATGATTTGCATCAATATGTCCTGATGACAATTTTAAAGAAAACAAAAAATGTGTTTGCATAAATTGAAGAATTATTTCCTATGTTGTGATGGAGACATTATGTTGGGGGAGGGGGGTGAAGACAACTTCCTCATTGGCTCAAGGGGGCGATTCGTTCAAAAAGGTTAAGAACCACTGATCTAAACTATATTAAAGTGGCAGTTGCTGAGAGACATGTTGATACTTGCATTAAAGATAAACACCTCTTCCCTTGAGCAAGTACTGTACCCTGTTTCAGGTGCTTTTAACTTTCCTGTATTGTTAGAAAGAGAGAGATTGGATTTAATGGATCTTTCGAAGGCCAGCGTTCCAGGTTTTTAAGTAGCTGTCCTAAACACACCAATGTTTTTCACACATTTCCAAAGGGGATAATATATTCAAACAAGCAAATTTTACTTGAAGCACAATACATCTTACAGTAACATTTCCCCCCCCCCCGCCGCCACCAAGGTTTTACAAAAAGAAATGCTAGCTATCTTTATTTGAATACAGCTTGCAACCTTTAGGAAACATATTTTCCATAAAATTTGCAAAGAGTTTCTTTGCACAGAACTACTAAATAAAAAAATAGGGGAAAAAATGATAAGACAATTTGATAAGGTGCCCCTAATCCAGTTTGCTGTATTGTATTTTGAAAAATTCAAGATAACATTTTGTTTAGGTAATATTTTTCCTATTATCTTCCCATCAAGTAGCTTTCCTTTTCTAGTTTCAAAATCTCTGAAAAGCCTGAATTTTTATCATTACAATGAAAGGCTAGAATTATGCAGAATAGTCTGATCTCCCAAGACATTATACATTTCAGAAACTTTACGTGGCATTGTCCCCATATTTTTCCCAGCTGTTGACTTTGTCTCAATCAGCAACTTTACATATTTGAGGCCTCAAAGTACTACAATTGCGATGTTCCACTGACGCTGTGACATTTCCAGGTATGTGGGGTGAAATCATATTGGACTTTTGGGGGGGGGGCAATTTAAAATGAAAATGGATCTTAAACTTACACAAGAACTACTTAAAAATTATTGTGCTGAGAATGGTTATTTTGGGATAATCATAAGCTAGCATGATCACAGGCAGACTGCCTGTAACCTATCTCTGTTTTACTTCAATGAAACCAAAATTTCTAATGGAGCAACATTTGATGGCCAATATCACATCATACCACAAAATAGCAATTTCCCCCTAAAATGGGTTCTGGGAATTGGTACTGGATGTTTCATGCAATCCAATGTCACATAAGACATTTTACATTTCAAGGCTGTCATTCTGATCCATACCTCAATGTGGGACTTTGCAACCTGCATGCGTTCAAGCTGCAACTCTTTGCTAATTCCCATTGCATTCCACAAATCTAGAAGCTTTCCCAGTGCTTGATTCACACTATTCACTAGGGAAGAAGCCAAAATTTCACTGAAAAAGAAGAGAGAGTAATTTCAGTGCCATGAGGACACTTAATGCACGCATTGCCTTTACTCCCAAAGGTGCTTTTTAAAAAGGCAACTGGACTTTGTTTTTCCTTGAAGACATTTTGCTTCTCAGCCAAGAAGCTTCTTCAGTTCTGCTCCTTACATCAGAATTCTCATTTGCATCACATTAGTATTAATATTAGACATCAATGTAATACATTAATACTTTTTTTAACAGAAAATGTCAAAGATTGAACTTCATCTCTGATCTGGTGACCATCACATGTGATTTTGGGCACCCTGAAAAGAACAAGCAGCCAAGGACAAACTTGGCTTCTAACTTGTTAAAAGATGACTAAAACAGAGTACTTAATCCAGCGGTTCTCAACCTGTGGGTTGGGACCCCATTTGGGGTCGAACGACCATTTCACGGGGGTCACCAAACAATGCAGTCCACCATTTTTCCCCCTTTTCCTTAGCTGTGCTACTCCCTTTTATTCTATTGGCTTTTGAAAGCCAATAGAATAGACTCTCTTGAATAGAGTCTAATTCTATTGGCTTTCAAAAGCCAATAGGAATTGTCCAGGCTGTCTCTGCCCTGCTGAGCCCGCCAAAAGTCCCATTCTGCAAACGGTGCTGCAAGTTGTCTGCAGCGAAAGGCGAGCTGTCTGGAAGTTTCCACCCCTCCCTGCTGAGCAACTACTAAAAATGTAAGTAAAAGAGGGCCAGGGGTGGGAGGTGGGAGGCCGGCGGGTGCAGGGAGGGTTGCTGGCACGCATGGGGCCTGGCAGGTGCCTTACCTCCCTTGGGCTGGGCCAGCTGGTGGCCCAGCCAGTGGTCACCCTGCACCGTCGCTGCCCCTTGCCAGCTACGCCTCGGCCGGCACAGGGGGCGGCACCACGCATGTGTGGCGCTCCCGGGCAGGGAAAGTCCTTGACTTACGAGCAGTTGGGTAGTCCTCGACTTACGACTGGTTGGGGTCGCGGCATTAAAAAGGTTGAGAACCACTGAGTAATCAGTAGAAGGAACTTAATGCTGTTCATGCATCTCAGGGTCTTTAGAGAATAGCCCTGGCAGTATACATGTGCTCCCTCTTTTTCTAAAAATATATAACATGTCCCCAGACTTCTAGTTCTTGTAGTGTTGATTTCTGATAACTGCTTGGACAAGTCCCTATAGCAATGGTGGCGAACCTATAGCACGGGTACCAGAGGCGGCACTCAGAGCCCTCTCTGTGGGCACGCACACCATCACTACAGTCCTAGACCTTCAGCTGGGTTTTATAAAAACCTTCTCACTTTAGGCCTCTGCTGCCGTGTACAAAAAAAAAAAAAGGTTCAATCAGTCAATTTCAACTTCTCACGGAAAAAAAAAGATCTTGCAATGTGGGAATTGATTGAACATTTTAGTCCCACCAGTCTGCTGTTACCATCGCAGCCATGCCCACCCATGGGCCACACCCACCCAATGGGCCACGCCCACCCAGCACCCGACGATGCATGTGGGTTTTGGGTTGCAGTTTGGGCACTCGGTTTCTAAAAGGTTCGCCATCACTGCCCTATAGTTTTCTTGGCAAGGCTTTTTGTACTGTTTGGCACTGCCTTCTTCTTAGGGCTGAGAGAAAGTAATTACTGAATGTAGCCCAAGTCACCCAGCTGGCTCAGTGCCTAAGGTGGGACTGGAACTTACTGTACCAAACTGGCTCTCCAAAAACTTCTGTTATTGGAGTATAAAAGTACAATAAATGTAAATACCTAATCAAAAAGACGTTTACAAGGATAGAGGTCCTTCAGTGATTGAGAAGACTAGAAATTTGATTAAATACATTAAATATAAACATAAATTTCGCAGATTTCCACTCAACTATAAATCTCAGTGGAAAACACTATATGCTTAATAACAAAAGATAAATTTACAGTAATGCATTTAAGTGTTCAGAACACACACACACCTTGCTTTGAAACAAAGTTGTAAAATAAGCCAATGTTGTTGTCCTCATAAGATGCAACAGATGGACAGGGAAGCCCCAGAACATCTTTCCCAAAGCAAGCTGGTGACTTTATGTAGCTTAAAGACACACAATTGTGTAGCTTAAAAACCCACAATTGATATGATAGAATAAAGGCACCCTAGAATCCGGTTTGACTCCTGGGACTTCATGGACACACCCATGCTATTTTTTGGGGGGGGGCGGCCAAATATAAGTGGTTAACCACTGCCTTCTTTTAATCTTTTTTTAAAAGATTTGCCTGTCCATCTTTTTTTTTAAACAATTCCCAGACCATAGCCCTGGACTTTCGGTGTGAATTATAACCAGCCACTTCACTGCTTAGCTGTCAAAAGATGAAACCCTATTGCGGCTGGGGGATCCGATATCGAGCCTCCTTCAGACCTTCCTTTGCTTCTGAGGCTGCTTTTCGAGGGGGAGAGAGTGCCATGGCAATAAAGGGGTTCCCACTCCCAAGGGAGCCGAGAAGTCCGGTCGCCGCTCAGCTCTCCAGAGGCAGACGGTTCCCTTCCCAGCCTGGCTTCAGAAAAGTCCTTCACCCTCTTACCTTTCCCGCACAGGTTTCGCCATGAGGAGCTAAGAGACGGCCGTTGCCGCCGTTGCCGCCGCCGCCGCTATTCTCTCTGCAAGTAAAATCCGAACCCGATACTAAGTGAAGACTCAAACTCATAGACAACGCCGCCGCCGCCGCCGCCGCCGCCAAAATTCAAACCGTTTGATCGAACAGCAAGCTGGGCCGGCGCGCCTTTTAATTGGTCAAAGAGACAATCATTAGTGCGTCATTTCCGGCACTGCCAAATCAGCAAATCAACGGAAGAGAAGAAAATGAGAGGGTGAAGCTCGCTCGCCTTTAATTGAAAAGCTCCACCGTTGGCGTTCCTCATGAGATGATTGGTCGCCAGGCTAGGAACGGAGTGAGGTCTTTGGCCATTTTTCTTTTCTTTTTTAAGCCAGAGGAGAAAGGAAGGTGCGAAGTTAAAGTAGAGGCGAATGGGGAAATTAAGGAAAGTTTATAGAAGAGCAATCCGATTTCATGTTCACTTCATTTGGCTGTATGGAATAGCTGCGCTCTTGGCTAGTCCAGTGCCTCGCTGAAGAGATACTCCGGAAGACTGCTTCGGAAATCAATCCCATTGACTCTAATGGAACCTGCTCGCTAGTAAATGAATTTGGCATCATTGAAACTTTACGGCCCTCGATGGTTTCTTCGAATACGAATCCTGTTTTGTCCAAAATCGTATGGCAAATGCAAATACTAAATCCCATTTCATATAGGATTAACCGATTGCGGTTTGGAAAGGATGTATACCTGCGTGATGTTAAAAGACTCAAGTCGAGACTGAATGAAACTTGTAGAATTACATGGGGTTTCTTAATCTGTAAAACCACCCGTCTCAACAAGTGACTCTGGGAGGCGAAAAACAATAAAACAACTACCATGGGGTCAATTAAATATAAAAATTATGCTGCCTAGCAGAGAAAAACAACAGTCAACAAGAGTTAGTCTTTTCTTATCCTTTAGCTTAACCTCCAGCTTTCCTAGTTTCCTAAAGAACTATATGAGAGATGAAACATGCATGCATGATATCAGTTAAACATACTATCTATTTAAATAAACATTAATGGTAGTCGCTTGTTGCTCACTCTCACATTATGTCAGAAGTTGACTGAGCTATGCAGGGAATTTGCTCACTCCTGGGTGATAAGGCCCAATATTTGACAAGTCTTAAGCAGAATGGATCATTATCCACAGTAAGTGGGCTGCAGTATTACAGCCTTTGAGGGGTCCTTGGTGCTCTCTGAGCTTGCTTGTTTTCTTGCAGATGTTTCATTACCCTAACTAGATAACATCATCAGTGGTAATAAGGAGTGCAGTTTGCTGTCAGTTTATATTCTGGTGTCTTGCGTGGGTGGGTCACTGTGGTCTTAGCTGTTTACTAAAGGCTCTTTGACAGTTTCTTGGTTGGGATATTGTTAATTTGATTCTTGCTTTAAAGGTGACCTTGGAGTTAATCTGTGTTGATCTGAATGTCAATTACTGGTGGAGAGGTGCTGGAGTCTTTTTCTCTTTTGTGCTGGTTGATTGTCTCTTTTGCATAATCTATAGATGTTAAATGTCTATGTGTTTATTGATGGCTGATTTGTCAAAGTGCCAGGCTTCTAGAAATGCCCTGACATTTTTGGATTTGGTCTGGTCTAGATTGTCACATTTTCCAGACGGGCAAGACACCAGGATATAAACTGACAGCAAACAGCACTCCTTATAACCACTGATGATGTTGTCTAGTTAGAATAATTAAACGTCTGCAAGAAAACAAGCAAGCTCAGAGAACACCAAGGACCCCTCATTTCAACCCTGAGATACAAATTCATTGAGTACAGCCTTTATTTTCCTCTTCCATGGCAATCCTTCAGTTTCCTCGGAAATACGTGCCTAGTACTGGCTGGAGTTTCTTACTGCAATAAGGATAATTTTCTTGCGAGTCAGCTCCATCCAACCAGGTTTTAACTTGGCATCGGTTGGAAACTGTTTGCTTTTGGGACAAAATGCGATCTGGCTGAAAGGAAAAGCAGGAAGTAAAATAGAGGGAACGACCATACTTTGTAAGAAGGGGGTAGTGATAAAAATAGGGTGAAAGCAATTATGGAATAAAACAGGAGAAAGTAATATCTCCAACGTCCATTTTCTCATAAAAATCTATCCCCTATATTAGCGAAGATAACATTGGGTCGTAAAGCATGAAAAATAGCTAATAATAGTTTGGATATCAACTTGCTCCCCCATTTGAGGAATAGAATGTGCCGGATAGTGGTGTCAAGCGCAGCTAGAAAGGCGGGGCAATTTCAGATCCTTTGTGCGATGAAGTTGGATAAAACATGGAACTTTGTGGGGTTATTGAGCCTAATCATAATGAAAGCGACTGTGGGATATGTTCATATAAACGTGGATCTCTCACGCCCTATAGGCGAGTTGAGGCATTTTTGGAAAAGCACGGGATATTGGTAAGAAATGACGGATTGTTTATGCAGTCATGAGGTTTGTAGTTTGAAATCAGCAAATTGAAAACAGATTATTTATATACTTGTAGTTAACGTCGCAAAGTCCAAGTTTTCCCTTTTTTATAGTACAAAAATAAGATAAAGCAAAGGTAATCAACATATGCATTCCTCTATCCGATACATACCTCAAGATTGGTTTGTGATAAATATTTTTTATGTGAATTGTCTGTGCATGCAATCTGCTCAAAGTGAGACTCAATACAATTTCCTTTAGCCCTGAAGTTAGGTTGCAATTCCAAACACGCTATAGCACAATATAGTAAGAATTATTTCTATTGCATTGTGGAAAAATGAGCTATGAATTCAGAAATACCTTCGAAATCTCACACTATGAACCCATAGGCAAGCTATGATCTAATGCAACCCTCCCTCTTTTTGCAACATACAAATAAACCATCCTTAAGAAAGATGGGTGGTTCAGAGATGTGAAAAATAAAAATATTGGCCCACCCAATGGTAGCAGAAAAGATGAGCAGAGGGTGAAAGGTTGGAGGTTTTCAATCTCTCTGAATCCTTTGGGACTACCCACTGTAGCTCCCTTCAGCCTTGGGGTGCAGCTTGGTAGTTAATGGTGATACTATCTGCTTTCTAAGGAGAGGCCCTTATCTGTGTTTTCTCCTTCCCCAATCCCAATGTGTATCTATAATAATATGTGGAAATGACCTTCGGAGATAGGAGGGAGAGCTGCAGACTGGATCATCAGCATGCAAAAGATATCTTAGCCCATAGAAGGGGGGGGGAGAATCTTGACCCTTTTTTGACATGTGGACTTCAACTCTCAGAATTCCTGAGCCAAGGTTCCTCCACCCCTGTGCTATGGGCTAAGACAGTGGTTCTCAACCTGTGGGTCGGGACCCCATTTGGGGTCGAACGACCATTTCACGGGGGTCACCAAACAACGCAGTCCGCCATTTTTTCCCCCTTTTCCTTAGCTGTGCTACTCCCTTTTATTCTATTGGCGTTTGAAAGCCAATAGAATAGACTCTCTTGAATAGAGTCAAATTCTATTGGCTTTCAAAAGCCAATAGAAATTGTCCACGCTGTCTCTGCCCTGCTGAGCCCGCCAAAAGTCCCATTCTGCAAACGGTGCTGCACCAGTTGAGTAGTCCTCGACTTACGACTTGGGGGTCGTGGCATTAAAAAGGTTGAGAACCACTGGGCTAAGATATTTTTTTACATGCTGATGATCCAGTCTGCAGCTCTCCTATTTTTTTCCCTGTCATGATCTCTTAAAAGGAACCCATACTGGCTCAGGAACTCTGGGAGTCGAAGTCCACAAGTCATAAAAGGGCCAAAGTTCCTCACCCCTGTCATAGAAGAAGGAAGGGTATGGGAAATATTTCAGAAGGGATCTTCCATAGTTTTCTGGAGAGAAACAAAAAGGAAAGGAGGGGAGAAATAATTTCTGTTTTGTGCTTCTTGTCAGAACTACCTCATTGGCATAGGGCTTACGGTATGAGAAGAGAGTCCCATAGCCTTTGCATGCTACCAGCAAATAAAAGGGGGAACAAAATGAGAAGGGAAATCCTATAGCCCCGTCTCCTGTTCCTGTAGAGCAGTGTTTTTCAACCTTGACAGTTTTAAGGCATGTGGACTTCAACTCCCAGAATTCCACAGCCAGTAATGCTGGCTGTGGAATTCTGGGAGTTGAAGTCCACATGCCTTAAAATTGTCAAGGTTGAGAAACACTGCTGTAGAGTTTAGGGCAAATATCTAGGGCAGCCTTTTAAAACTGGTTTTAGGCAACACTCCAGGGTTCCAGAAGAGATCATGACAGAGAAAAGATTTTTTTTTTTTACCTTCACCTACTGTGCAATGCTAGATCACAATGTGGTTATTTTTATGCACTGCAACTCAGCTGCCCACCTGCCACTTTGTCATTGCTGTCAGTGTTGCGACAATGTGGATTGTGTAGGTTAGAAGTGAACTGCATTGTGATGTAATGCAGGTTGAAAAAGGCTGGTCTGGTAAAATCATTCTCTTTTGTGTGGAGAGATAGACCCATCTCACTGAAGAAAAAAAAATGTGTGAAACTCAATTAAGGAAAACATAAGTATCTTTTCAAATAGCCACCTGTGAAATATTAATTGGAAAAGTTAATAAAAATGAAAAGCAATTCAAAACACAAAAGCCTCTGAAAAGAACTTTCAATCCAAAAACATATTTAGGACAGTATAAATTTCTGAGCAAATCACAAGACTGAACTGCTAACTAATCTAAAAGCAATTCAGATGCAAAAAATACTATCCGTTTGTGTAAGAAAAGACTGAGCTTGTATTGAGTAATCACCAGAGAAAATAAACATAAAAACATTTAAAATAAAAATAATTTTATGCATTGTTTATAACTACGCTTGTTGCCTATTCTTGCCAGCTGAAGATAAAGTCCTTTGTATGCATTTTTTTGTTCTTTATCCTAACTTCTTTTAATTTTTCCCCTTTTAATCAAGAGTCTAGAGAGATTCCCCGTTCCAATTCAGCACACAGTTTCTTGCTCCTTTTCGGCCTGAGTTCTTCTCCAAACTTCATCTTCTACAATGTCTGTGTTTGTACATGACTTAGGATGTCAAATTGTCACCCATGTAAGATATTGACTGAGAAGTAATCCTCACTTAACAAACATTTATTCAGCAACCATTTGAAATTAGGACACTGTTGAAAAAGATCTATAACCAGTTTTCAAAGCCACAGTTGTCACAATGTCCCTGAGTTACATGTTTGTCATTTGTGAATTTCATAGCCAGCTTCCGACAAGCAAAGTCAATGAGGAAGTCAGCAGAAAGTCACATGATGTTGTGCTAAATCAACCATGGATGGTTCCCTTAACAAATTGGATACAGTCACATTATTTTTTTTTAACTTTATGACTGCCTTGTCCCAGTAGAATTTGCCAGTCCCAGTTGCGGTTGGTAAAGTGAGGGCTATCAATATCTGAGTTCTGCCAGTTGTTAAGAAATCTCCATTTAGAAAGCTGTTATATGGACTGCTAAGATATCTTATGTGAGGAATTTTGAGCTCTCAAAAGTATTAACTATATTAAATAATATTGTTTCCTTATTTTTTTTCAGTCCTCCTCTACCACACAGACAAGCAGATTTGTTTAATCTAAGTAAAGACCAAATAATTAATTTGGCTTATATTTCATCTGTGCCGCAAAATGGTATTGAACAAATTCGAATCCATTGGCTGTTGGAACTGATTCAAGCTGCGTAAGTTAAATTCTTTACTCCCTCTCATTTGTAGTTTTTTTTTTAGGTTTGTCTAGGTCAGTGGTTCTCATGCCGCGACCCCATAATACAGTTCCCCATATTGTGCTGACTCCCCAACCACTTATACATCACCGGGTGCCAGGGGCGTGGCCAAAGAAAAGGGGGAAAAATGGCGGACAGCCTTATTTGGCGACCCCCGTGAAATGGTTGTTCGACCCCAAATGGGGTCCCGACCCACAGGCTGAGAACCACTGGTCTAGGTGGTTAAAAAGATTTTCCTGAATTAAAGAAAGAACAGTGTGATTAAGAGACAACTTGGGAACCATTTGTAAGCTATGCTAGCTTTTCAAAATAATTTCTTATACCAGATAATGTTTTTTGAAATATGTTTTTGTAAGAGTTCCCAGCATGCATATTCATAAGGGATCATTTAGCATATTCTAAAACATAACATCTCAGTTTGCATTGGGCCTGGTTGATTACTACAGGGGCTACCTAGAAAATGCTTAGGACATCATTTTTGCTTTAAAGGTGATTTTATGGTTGAATAATTAAGGGGTGTCCTTTGCATGTGAAATCCCTTGATTATGGTCATGTATTTTCTTGTGGTTATAAATTCAGAAGATGTCTATGTAGCCTCTCACAATAGAGTAGAAAGAGATGATACTTCTGTTGTTTCTGAGGAAAAACAGACTGATATGGTTGCTCTGTGGTCACAGTGTGGTTTGTCTTTGATCACAAAGCAATAAATAGTGCAAGCCAGACAGATAAAACATGTCAATTAAGATAGGGGTCCAACATTCTTGACTAGCCTTTCAATTTCCATCCTCAGAAAGTGGGTGAGCAAGGTTTGTATTTGGAGAAATGTGAGGGATGTGAGATGATTACCCGGAAGGTGCTAGATTCCTTTCGCTAGATGTATTCAAGCAGAGTTCAAAGAGTGCACTAATGAGGATAGTTTTATTTGGATTTTTGTACTGAGTAGCCCAAGGGGTTTGGACTCAGTGGTCTGTGCAGCTTCTTTGAGTGTATATGATTCTGTATGGTACTTTGAATTGTGCCTGCTTCAATGGAAAGTTCAGTTGGAGGAACTTAAATGTGCTCACTGGTATAAGATGTATTTAGTTATTTATTTAGGTACAAGCCAGATTTATGAACAGCAATTAGTTTTCAGTAGAATTTATATCAAGGAGTAGCGAAGAACAATGTACTACCCTGGCTTCTGATGGGTGTTGAATCAACAGTTATCTTTAAAAAAAAATAACATTTGGAGCTCATTTAAAGAAGCAGCTGTCTTCCAGTTCAGAGATTTTTCAGACAGTGAGTTAAAATTGCAAGAATATATATCAGAACTGTAATTTGGAATGTGTGCGTGTGTGTGATGAATCTCTGAAGAAATCTCTGAAGAAACAATAGAAAAGGTTTCCTTAAATGTACGTGATTATGTACAGTGTTTTTTCAAAGGAGATACCAATTCAACTATTACAGCGGACACTTTCAGCTTACTAAACTTTGTTTTCTGTCAGTTGAAGCCCCTTTGAAGATGGAAGACTATTTTCTTATAAAGCAATTGTGAATATCCATTGGGGAAAATAGAAATACTGGACAGACACTTTGTGGTGTGTGATTCAGTGATTTCCCTTTTGTACTATTGAAGAGTATTGCATAAGATGTAAAAGTACACAAAGGGCCTTTAATAAAAACTTTTTAATGAATTATATGAAGGAAGAGAAGAAAATTGAGACTAATAAATAAAGCACAATGGACAAAATGTAGGAAAGAGGAATTTTACAATTGTATGGAAGGAGAATTCTGATCAGAGAATTCTGATCAGAGATTAATTAATCTTCTACAAAGATCCTGAACTGAACTCTTACTGTCTTTTTTTATTTTATTTTAAGTGTTTGAGAATTGCCTGCATCAAGGATGTCAAACTGCCGGCCCATGGGCTGGATGCATCATGCCAAAACTGCGCCCACCCCATTGCCGGCAATGGAAAAAAAGTCGCAATACGTCGTGACACGTTACGTGACGTTGCGAGTTAGACATCCATGGCTTACATAGCTCAGTATGCTGAGAGGCACTTATTGCATAAAGTATTTCAGAGCAATTACTGGGTTTCAACAAAAATTTTGGAATACTGCATCTCCTACAATTGTTGAAGGCCTATGGCTTGGGCTTACAGGCTAAGTAGGGTCAAATCCGCTTCATATATGGATGGGAAACCATCAAAACTTTTCAGGGCTAGAAACTACACTGTGAAATTGAAAAAGCTTTTCAGAAAAAGGCAGTGATGAGTAACTTTTCTGTTGGTGCCCAGAAAACCACAAGGATGTGCCATGTAGTCATCAGGAGATGAGATTGATTGGAACACTGTTTTATTACAAAATAACAGAGTTGGAAGGGACCTTGGAGGTCATCTAGTCCAACCGCCTGCTCAGACAGGAAACCCTATACCATTTCAGACAAATGGCTGTCCAGTCTCTTCTTAAAAACTTCCAGTGTTGGAGCATCCACAACCTTTGGAGGCAGGTTGTTCCACTGATTAATTGTTCTAACTGTCAGGAAGTTTCTCCTCAGTTCTAGGTTGCTTCTCTCCTTGATTAGTTTCCATCCGTTGCTTCTTGTCCTGCCTTCAGGAGCTTTGGAGAATAGCTTGACCCTCCCCCTCTTCTTTATGGCAACCATTTAGATACTGGAACGCTGCTATCATGCCTCCTCCTAGTTCCCAAAAATAAAGTCCAAGTAGTCCTCGACTTATAACCATTCATTTAGTGACCATTCAAAGTTACAACAGCACTGAAAAAAGTGACTTAACGGCCATTTTTCACATACACAACTGTTTCAGCATTCATGTGATCAAAATTCAGACGCTTGGCAATGGACTCATATTTATGTCAGTTGCAGTGTGCTGGGGTCTTGTGATCACCTTTTGCAACCTTTTGACAAGCAAAGTCAATGAGGAAGAGAGGTTCATTTAACAACTGTGTTACTAAACAGCTGCATTGATTCACTTAACAATTGTGGCAAGAAAGGTCATAAAATGGAGTAAAAATTACTTAACAATTTATCACATTTAGCAACATAAATTTTGGGCTCAGTAATAATGGTTTAGAAAAAAATATATAATTAAGTCTTCTCTGTTATTGACTAAAATGCCCTAGATCAGGGGTGTCAAACTGCCAGCCCGTGGGCCAGACGCATCACAAGGAAACCACGCCCACCCTATTGCCTGCAATGGGAGAAAAGTTGACATGTCTGCCCTAGATAGCAAGATTATTTCTGCTACAGTGAAAGGCATCAATTTTGTCTTTAATCACAAAATGCTGTGAGGTGATTCTTGTTGATAGGGCACACATTTAAAATACTGCTTTTGGAGACGATGCTCTGCAATTTAGCAAGCAGAGAACCTCGGACATAAGTAAGTGAAGCTATTTTCTCTGTGTGGCTTGTCCCTTCTAAACACGGCTTCTGATGTTTCTTCCTTTATCTTAACTACTCTTAAGATAGGTCAAGAAATAGAGCTTTCATTCATCCTCATGCTGGATAAAACCTTGAAAAGAAACTTTGAAAAGAAAAAGAAGTATAAAACTCCATGAAAGAAATACCTCACCTTCATTAAAGAAGACTTAAGAGAACAGTATATCTTGAGGCAGATATACTGCTAAATAATGGTTTAGTGTTCAAAAAACAAGTTGCAGCTAGTTAACAAATTACATAGCAAACAACACCTTGAACTTTATTTGCTTAAAGAAATACTTGAAATAAGTCACATTTTCTTGAGATTGAACGTAATGGCAAACATTGCTTTTTTCAGCACTGAGGATGGACACTTTTGGTCTCCTTCCTTTAAATGAAGAATAGGATGAGGAACACAGGAGCCCATGGCAGGGTTCAAAACACTATCCAATGATCAGTTAGAACAAAACTTATTTTGTTTCTAGTTATATTGAACCATAGACAATGTCTAACTTTATTTGATTAAGATTTCATTTGGGAGGAGGTTAGTTAAGTTTTGCTTAACTAAAGGCTTTGGAAATGTGTTCCATATTACCAAATGGGTTTCAAGGAAGAATTCAGTCCAGGCATGTTGAAACCACAGTCTATCTATAATGAACCCAGAATCACCAAACTGCCAATTACTGGATTAGACAACAGAGTCGTCAGTTGTAATTTCCCTCTCTCTTACAAACTGGACAGCACTTGATATACTATGAAACAGCAATTCGTGCATGTCTTTGTCTGCACTCTTAAAGTAGCCTCCTTTTTCCAGGGAAGATATCACTGAAGGATTACAGCAAGCCAAATGCATGCTGATCTCCAGTTCCTGATAGTCTTTGAATGTTTCTTTTAATGTGCTCACCCCAGCTGTGTCCAAAAATGGAATGGAAGCGCAGTCAATGATGATTGTATGAAAGTCACCGCCTTCAGCAGCCAAGCATGGCGACATTTCTTTCTGTCCTAGTTTATTATCCAGATTTTGTTCCCCTTTCCTCCGGGATTTTTTCCTTTTTGCAACTTCGAGTGCAGGGTTCAACCCTGTCCTGTTGTGGAGGCACTTTAGGAAGAAGTCCTTGTTCGCATAATAAAGCGGTGCTTCAAATCGGAAGATTTTGATCTTTGGAATTGGGAGAAGGTCTTTATATTCTTCATCATCTTCATAGAAGACAGTGTTTCCGATTTGCCCTAGCAAGGCAGCGTGTGGGCACTGGGTGCGACCAATAATGCAGAAGACTGAAAAAATAACTCCAACCAACAACCCCATTTCTGTGCTGATCAAAGCAGATGAGAGCATGGTAACACACCAGACCAGCGCGTCTACTTTATCCAGGCGGTAGCGTTGAGGAATATCTTTGAATTTTCTAAGAGCTCCTCTTAGACTCACTATTATGATGCAAGCCAAAACACATTTCTGTAGGTTGTAGAAGAGGGGAGCAAAGAATAGCAGCACAAGCAGTACAACCACTGCACTTACAATGCTGGAGACCTGGGTCTGGCAC